GTGTGTATATATATATATATATATACACACACTATTCTAACCTTCTGTACAAGTAACAAAAAACAAACCATAAACAAAAAAAGCCGTATGTTTGTGTTTACTGTATTCTTCCTTTTAAGATTCCTGAGAGTTTAAATAATTCTAAAAATAGATAAAGTAACAACTCTAATCTTTACGTTTTGTTGTTGTGTCTGTGTTTTTTTATTGTTATTATTAATGTATAGTAAGTGAACATTCTGTTGTTTTGGGTGGATTAGAAATTCCATGCCATTTAAAGTTGTTAATGAATTCAGCACTAACAAAGGTCTAAAACCTTACTTTAGGTATTTTTTATCTTCAAAATCAGTGACCAATGATAAAGAGGGTGCTTATTTTTTATTTTGTAAATCGTGTAGTGGTGCTTATAGTGGAGGGGGGGGGGGCGTATTTTCTATAACAATTTATTTACTTAACATCTTGTTTCATTCGTAGTATAATTTATTTTCACATGTTTTGTTTAGAGGTAAATTATGACATTTTACAGTTACACAAATATACTTCTAAAATTTTAATTTTGTTTCTTTTATTTAAATTACAATTTTACTATTTTGAATAACAGTGTTAACCCTTATTTACCGATTCATTTTTATACCATTCGCTGCTAGTGGTTTGAAGTATTAGATCATATTGAGTAATTGTTTTTGCATGTTTAACACTTAATGAAAGAACTTGCAAAACTTGGCGAAGTAATTTTTGGTGTAAAATACATAGGAAATCTGAGCAGTATTTACTGGGATTAACTCATTGACTGTGGCTATCCTAATCGTGCACAGAATTTTTTTTAAGCTGTACACCATGTATATGGCAAATCAGCAGTCAGTGTGTTAATTACAGTATTGGTAGTTTGATTTAAAACTTTTTTTTTTGTATGACTAATATGTTAGTAGAAACCCTGTGACAATCATTGGTGCATGAATAATTTAAATGCATTTAAAATCCATACAGAGCTGTCCAATCACAAAACCAAAGTCTTATTGAGCATTTGAGTTTTACGCTCCTTTACAAAAGTGATATTTTTACGGTGTGGATGTCTTATTCTCGGAGCAATAAAATAGTACAAACCATCAGCAATCATTTTACATTAATGGAACAATTCCTTCTAGAAGAAAATGGGTCATTCAGACTCGTGGTCTTTTGTTTCAAACCATCACCTGTTCAGTAACTCGTGTGGTAAACTCCACCTTCCAAAGTGTACATTTTTGAATCTGTTGAACTTATACTTTTTGTGAATTGGTGTGGAATAATGATTTTGTTTTCATTGCCATTGTTAAATAACTAAGGATGTCGTTAAAATGTTACTTTGAGAAATTGAGGCTTATGAATAAGGTAAAATCACCTGCTAACAATTTTATAACTCCACAGTTACGAAATGATCAGTTATCAGTCAGTAATACATTTATAGTTAGTATTAAAATAATTGAGGATGTTTACAGGAAATTTAATTCTTCATTTAATAGACACTTAGAAAACCTGAAAGCCAGTTTGTCAGAATTCAAAAAATGTAAATCAGTACCTTTTAGGTCCTTTCTGCATTTGTTGAATACATTTGATTATTTGCATCAAGAAGGGTGTGTGTGTGTGTACGCTGTACGAACAGTTTTTACCATATCCATGCACAAAATCAAGGGTTATTTCACGATGATGAGAGAAGCTTGACATTTTTATTCTTCTATATATTTTATTGATTTTGTTCGAGATATCTGATGAAGTACTTAAAGTTGCCAACTTTATTGCAAGTTGATTTAATGTAATACAAATATTATGAATAAAACTACTTGTTTTTACCCATTTCTACTTATTGTTGAATCTAAATATTTCAATAATATATCGTAAAAAAGTGTACTTAAATTTTTTATGGTGGTGGTGGTGGTTAATATTAAGGGTATTAGTGAAATTAAACTAACCAAAATGGTTAATGACTGCACCATATACTGAACAGTCTCATCAAAAACCATTAATACCGATAACTATCCCGATGATGCTCCCTCCTTGTTGCTGATGTCCTTTAAATATCTGATATTATCACTCATTCAATAAACATCACTTCTGCTCAAGATTCTCTTGACACCACACAATTTTTCTATTAATCTTTTTATTTCAAATACAATAAAAAATTATATTAAGAGCAAAAAAACCGATTTCTGAAAAAAAAGTGTTAAAATAACTCAAAAACTTTCACTCTGTAAGCGTAAGCGAACAACAGCAACACTTAAAAATGTCATCATAAGTGTAAAAAAATCCAGTTCTTGCAATGCCAATGCATACCTCTTGAGTTTTTATATCTGTATGAAGCAACCGAATGTACAAAAGTTTGTTACAAGTTTTTTTTATTCTATTTTTATCACGTTGCTGTTTGAATATCTGTTCTTTTCTTTGCCTGTTCATCAAGTTTCTCTCCGACATCCTTGAAAGAAAATATTACAGGTAAAAACAAGGTAATTACTGTTAAAAACCTTATTTAGATTTGAATGTATAAGAATAATACAAAAACTTCAAACATATTATTAGATGCGAAATAAACTAGTCACTAAATTTGTTTCAGTAAGTTGGGGCCTTAATTTATTTTGTATGTTTTATAAGCTAACTTCTCATTGCAAGAATACTGAATGAGGATGTAATAACACTATTTCCTCATATTAACACGTATTTCTAGTGGTTCGTGCATAGAAGGACATCCAAGATGCATTAAATTTCAATTTCTAGATACAGAGAATCAACCACGAGTATAGCTGTGCAATTAACTTGGTTACCTATGATATGTAAAATAATCTGTTAATCAATGTTACTATTAGGTCGATTCATGTCATGAAAATAACCAACTAATCAAAATTACTGTTTGATTATTCTATCTAAATAGATACATTTCAATTATGATTTAAAAAAAAATTAATACAAGTTTGTTCAATTTCTGGCAGTTAGGGAAATTGGCTTGTGGATTCACAAGTTACAGGTTTGATTCCTGTTGTTAACAACGTCTTTTTGGCCACAGGGGCATTTATATCCATGTTTAGTTATGACAAAACCATAAAAGAACATCCAATCAGAAGGAAGGAAGATACTGTCAACTCCTGAGCCATTCTTTTATCAATGGATATTGGATTGACCATAATGTTATAATGCCCTAACAGCCCAAAAGCCAAACGCGTGCGTATTGTACTTGCAAACCTTAATTTGTGAGATAACCACCAGGCTACGCCTGTCTGGGAGCATTATAATGCAATATAAAATCTATCTGCTGGTAATAAGTAGCCCAAACTTTGGTAGTGGGTACTGTAAGCAGCAGATAGCCTTATTAGTTTTTCACAACTCAAACTTGTTCAGCTTCAGATACATACAATTTATGAAGTAAGGGTGTGGCTGTTGGATAAATAACTAGCCACGGTGATGCCCGTTGTTAGCATTGACCTTGCTGGACTAAATAATAATGTAACTTTGGTTACTTATTACGTGCTACAAACGTAACCAGTGTTACATTACTTAGTACATGTGCACAATCCTAGCATCTTGCATGACTTGAGTAAAATTCGTATAAAAAAATTACAGCAAGTTAATATACATTTATTTATTCATTCAAAGAAAATGTTGATAGCTAAATAGCTAGAAAGGGACCAACAAGCCTAACAACGTGTGATGCACAGTTAAACACAACCTAGAATTGATTTATGGATTTCTCAGTACTCATGCAGCCTGTACTGTGAAACTTAAATGTATTAGTCATTTTAATGTTGTTTCTAATATTCCGTACATGTCGGTTTTTATTTTTTTCTACACCGATGATGGAACCAGAACAAAATTAGAAAACACTGATGTATATATATTTAGATTTTTTTTGGTACTGCCAAGTTTTTAACATTCCTCATAAAATAGGTATTTCCACTTTATGTATCATCACGCACTGTGACAAGTATCTACTAGTTTTAGAACATGAAATTTATAGATAATTTTTAAATTAAGAATTACTTTAATTTTAGTATTATTGTGGAAACATAGAGAATGCTATTAATATATTCAGCTTATAACAGATTTTACACCACATTAGTTATATCATACATTTTCATATAGAATGGTTTAGGATTAAAAGAGTAACTTATAACCTTAAACTATTGTACCTGGACAATTAACTGATTAGCAAGGTCTACAAATCGACCGGCTCTAATCATTAAGAAGCTCCAGATACAAAAAGGAACGAGAAAATTTAATGAAAGTAAACAAATCAAGTAAAAAAATCACAGTCTTGGTGAACATGACAGCAATACAAGGTTTAATAGATTAAGGCCATTATTTCATTAATAATAATAAATAAATAACAGTTTGGCAGTTAACACCATACTCTATAAAACCTTTACCTCAAACCAGGAAAACTCAAAACGACTTGTTTAAACATACCTTTTTGTCATATTTTAATAAATTATTGAAGACAGAGACAGATTAAGGTGGAGGCGTTAAAGAAAAAATAAAAAATTTGTCTTTAGTTGTGATCATAATAGGCAGGCCCAGAAGAAATATTTAGCCCCAGGCTCACCTGGCCCTTAATCCAACCCTGATCAACACTGCTACATTACCCTTAGTGTTTAAGTTAAATTAAGTACAATATGGTTCTACACAAACACTAGGAAAATTAGCATAAAAAATACCATTCGCAACAAAAATCTTTGTATCAAACTACTGAGAACAATGCAATATTCAAAATCCACTTACCACCCCAGCTCGTATTTCTCCATTTGCTACTGCTTTATCACCACTTAAACTTGTATTATCCTCATTATTTGGCCTAGACTTCTTTGCCTGAAGATCAGAATTTTTCTCATCTACTTCTTCTGGCTTTCTCTGAGTATTCAATTATACTTAAAATCTTAAGCCTAATAGATAGGCGTTTTTTTAAATTAGTTTCAAACAATTTATTTATTTTAACAAACTAGCAAATTCATGTTGAATATGAATACAGATATTACTGTTAAGTAAGAGTTGGTTTTTCAAGCTGTTACGTAGAATAAAATATTAAAATTAAATTTATGGGAAGAAATTGGTAACACATCAAAAGTAGTTGTAAATCGAACATAGAATGTAAACGTCTATATTGTTGCCATTCTTAAATTTATTACCTTAAAATGCTGAAATTTTTCCTTCTCTAAACCTTTTTGTAGACTGTTAATCATTAGTTAAGATTGTACATTAAACCTACTTTCTAGGTTAACAAACCTGTACCCTGATTCTGCTACAAACTTTATAGTTCACATGCACATAATATCTTCAAAAGTACATTTCAGGCCTAATTAAACTTAACTTATTCTTGATTGATTTTCTAACAGACCTCTCATTAGTAGTAGTAGGAATAAAAGTTTATTAGCTATAAATAATAGTCATTCATAAACCAAAAATATAAAGAAATAATCACCTTTCTCTTCACTAAGTGAGCAATGCTAGTGGCTGCTTTTGTTGGAGAAGCATTCTAGAAAAACAAAACAATAATTTGGTTTAATCATGAACATACACAGTGATCATAAAGTATATTCAATAAAATAAAACCTTCCTTAAAAAATGTACACAGTAGCCACTACGTATATATTCAATAAAAAAAAAGCTTGCCTTAAATGTAAACATTGACCACTTTATAGTTAATAAAAAATGTTCCTAAAATCTTAACAATGGCTACCATTTACTCGTTAACCCTTTAAATGCTATAATTGGATTTATCCGACTTGGCATTTATAGCCGTTTGGTGCAACAAGCGGATTTACCCAATGGTATCACAAAAACTTTTCCTCATAGTGTGACAACTGAGATACCTGTATGTCCTTGAATTTCCCGCTTTTGTACCACAAGTGTATATATACCACCAAGCAAAAGCACAACTAGAGGGTAACTGACACTTTGAGAACCCACCTGAAATTTAATTACACACACTCCAAGGGTTAAAAATGTTCAATAAATATAAAATAAATACTGTATTCCTCCTTAATTTTTACAGTAAAGGGACTACAACATTAAGAAAGATACCATTTGGATAAATCATGTGGGGAAAAAACTTTACAGGAAAGGACTACAACATTAAGAAAGATACCATTTGGATAAATCATGTGGGAAAAACTTTACAGTAAAGGAACTACAACATTAAGAAAGATACCATTTGGATAGATCATGTGGGAAATAAAAAAAACTACTCAAATTAAGATTTATTTGGTGTCAAAATGAATTAGCCAACTTGTTTAACTTGCGTTTGATGAAAGTAGTGTTCAGGTTGTTACTGGGATAATCAAGTCTTTCATTATAGACTGTAACAAACTTAATTTTTCTGTTAGATAAAATTATATCATATAAAAAGCACTTAATTGTGCAAAAGTGGGTGAAAAAAAAACTCTTATTTCTATCAAATCCAGTTTTTGGTATGTTCGATGTCGGTGCTCCTATTTTGAAGACAAACACGTTGAAATATGTAAATGAAT